TTTTTAAAAATTCTTGGGGAAAATACTCATGACCCTCTCCAATCTGGCCTTGATCCTCATCTGTATAAACTCACCAATTAACGTGTGATCTTTTGATGAAATATTAGTAATAGTAATGACAAGTTGTGGGCCAGAAAAGCAGACAGGTGAAGACCTTTGCAATTTCGCAACCTGCTGCTGACTGCAGCAGGAAACCTGCCGTTTCATATTTACAAAGTACGTATGGAGGAGGTTCATAATTAACTCTGCAGAAAGTGAATATGTATGTTTAGTATTGAATTATTGCATTGTGTAAACAAACGCAGGCTGCATCTCATATAAGGATTTAAATGGCAAAGTCCAGTGAAGCAATGGACCTTTTTTTTTCTGTTTAAAACGTTTTCAAGTCTCCTTTTGTAAGTGACACTTATTTAAATGTCCCTTTAAATATCTGTATCTATTGTAATATGCACAAATAAATGTGTTACTCTAGACCCTCAAGTCAAAATTCCTGAGTTGCAAACAACTCAACATCTGTTTTAATATCTGCCACAGCAAAAATCACATCAAAATATGAGAGCCACCCAAGAGGCTTGTCTGTGCTGTAACTTTAAAACGTTTCTGTATTTCTAGCACTCCAGCAAAATTTATTTCAACATTTACAGATCTGCAAATGTTTTGTTTTTTTTGTTTTTTTTAAATCCACATTTATTAATCTGCACCCAGAGATCGCACACAGTATTTGTTACACATTTACAAATCTGAGTATACACACAGACTGAAGAACAAACAACCTTTGACACACATTTGAAAATAATTGTGCTACGGTATAATCTAGTACACATTGTACATTTATTTCGGTCATAGGCTGTAACTGGCACACAGGAATTCACTGAATCAGAGATACTCAGTCAAATACTGGATCCTTACTGGGTCACATCTTCTCAGTCTGGGGTTAGGTTTTTTTAAAACCAGTCAGTTTGTGTTTTTTATTTTTTAAAAAAATGTTTATATATAATGTTTATGTTTTTAAGATCTGCAGAGCATAATTATACATTTTTCTATATTGTGTTTGTGTATATTGATTGAAATCTTCCTTTAATAAATCTTATTTAACTGAAAACTGGGAAGCAAATTTATTATGAAAGCTAAACGTTACAAGCAAACAAGCAGCTGATCTATTATTCCTCTTTATTTGGTAGATATGTGAAAATGAATAAACATGAATCTATTTACATATATTAATATATTAAACGCAGACATTGTCCATGTTTAGACAATGTTTTGTTTTTTTTCCTTTTTCAGATGTATCAGCAAGTGCAGGACTTACAAATTTACAATGATTTTTGCTTTTGTCTATTTGTCTACACCGGCTCACTCCATTCATCCATTCATGTCCAAAACTAGCTGCTTGTTCCCAGGGATTACAGATAAAAACGAACTTTTAGCTGTTTCCACACACCGGTATCATGCAACTTGATACATGTACATGTTCCACTACCTATTGATAGCAGTCATATGGTAGCAGTGCCCATCTACATGCACTTAAACATGCCGATACAATCAAGAAGTTCAAACTGAGCGGAATGGGGAAGAAGGATGATTTAAATGTCTTTGAATGTGGCGTGGTTGTTGGTACCAGACAGGCTGATCTGAGTATTTCAGAAACTGCAGATCTACTGGGAATTTCCATCACAACTGTCTTTAGGTCTTGCAGAGAAAGTTCTGAAAAAGAACATATCCAGCCATCAGCAGTTCTCTGGATGAATATGTTTTATTGATACAAGAGGAGAATGACCAAACTGCTTTGAGCTAATAGGAAGGCAACAGTAAGTAAAAAACAAAACAAAAACAACTTGTTACCAAGGAAGGCAGAAGAGCAGCTCTGACCGCACAAGACACTGCAATGCTGTCACGGTCTCCGCCATTATCCATTACCATTATCGTCTGCAGGTGCCTGAAGCTTAATAATTAACCCTCCTGTTATGGTGGTTTCCAGGAACACCAACTATGGTCCTGGGGCAATTTGTACCGCAACATAGCAGGAGGGTTAACAGCTCCTGTCCTTTCTAATCATTTACATAAGGCTTACACAATCATTGAGCAGGAGGGGATGCTGCCCCTCTTGCTCATCTGTTTTGATGTAGATCACCTGGTTGTTCAGTAGTTACATGTAAGTTGTGCTCCTGCTCCTTGCACCTTTTTATACCTCCGCTCTGTCTTCAGCAGGACAGCTGGGAGACAAACATGTTGGTCTGGACGGTGTGTGCAGCCTTGATTGTATGTGGCGTTTTACTCCGCCATCCTTATCTCTTCCAGGATGTCCAGTACGTGCTTGCGAAAATAAAAAGAAGGCGCTTTGTATTAAAGTGCATGCAGACTAATTACTCAATCCTGGACCGCTTTTTAGACTTGGTGAAGACGCAGCCGCAAAAGACTTTAATTTATTTTAAAGATGAAATGTTCACGTACCGGGAAGCAGATGTCCTGAGCAACAGAGCTGCGAGAGCGTTTCTGCAGGCTGGATGCGTAAAGGAAGGAGACGCGGTGGCGCTGTTCCTGGGGAACCAGCCGATGTTCCTGTGGCTCTGGTTGGGTTTGCTGAAGATTGGATGTCCCGGAGCTTTGCTCAACTCCAACATCAGATCCAAGTCTCTGCTACACTGCCTCAACTGCAGTGGAGCCACAACTCTGGTAGCATCTGAAGGTAGTACCTGCATTTCTGTCTGCTTTTCCAAGCGATGGAGACAGTAGAGAGCTCATTTACTCAACATTCAATAACAAATAAATACATAAATAATTAGAGAACAAACTGTACTTTGGCATGCCATGGGAAAAACACCAATGTAGGCTATGCACTGTTTGCCTGCAATGGAGTAATCTATTGATGGAGTTTGATATAAGAATTTCCATTTTTACTTCACCAGAATAAAGTATCAGTCTTTATTCACATATCTAAAATTGTGCTTCTACCTCACTTCCGGGTCAGTATCTTACATTAAATGCAAAGAATGGTTGTCACTTTCCAGTAACAGGGATGACTTTTCATACCGTATAAGAAGCTTCTTAAACATTTTCTCACTGCCTATTGTTGCTTTAGTTAAATTTTTAATATTTGGAAATGAATACATGTATACTCAACAGAAGGAAAACCACTTTCTCCACCATGCAGTACACCTTTTTATGACTGCATATGGCTGTCTTCATCATCTTCTTCACAAAGCAGACAAAAATAATGTGTTGCACTTGTGGTCCATCTTAACTTTTAGTTATTTAAACTGCCCCTTCATTTAGCACATATATTGTTAGTGACAAAACATCAAGGCAGTTCCAAGAATGGAACATGCCTCTCTAAAGATTTACTGACTTAAACTGTCACAGTGGGAAACAAAGAATTAAAAAATAAAAAATGTTTCTCCACCATAAATCAATCAGTAACTAAATGGTCCTGTGAAAAATAATTTCCACTCTATACAGTCAAAGTATAGAGTGGGCAACAAGTGTGAGCGCACCTGTAAAACCAGAAGCTCCAACATCATTATTAGGAAATTATGGACCTGTGAAACAGAAGACCATGTCTGCTTTGGGATTTTTTTTTTTTTTGGGTTGTTTGTTTTTAACAGAGCTCATGTGAGCTGATATACTTTATAATTTATGGAGCATTCAGATGTGTTAACACAATAATTGAATCTACCAGGAGTTAAAAGGAAAAACAAAAGTAAAATTGTCAAACAGCTAAAGCTTGGCCAAAAAGGTTAACCATCTACAACAGACTGGCTGAAAAAGGGGAAGAAAAATCACACTGTTGCAATGGCCCAGTCAAAGTCCAGACCCCAACCCAACTGAAAAGCAGTGGTGGGGCTTTGAAAGAGCTGCGCATCAATGAATGCAGGCAAAGACAGGAAGAAACCCTGTAAAGCAGAGGCAGCCAAAATTCCTTCACATCAATATGGGAGACCAGGGCTGGACTGGTAATCTGGCACACTGGGCATATTCCCAGTGAGTCAACTGAGGGGCTGCTGTCCACCAGCTGTACAAGCCATGACAAAAACCCATTCGTACATTTTTCCTTACTGTCACTACCCAATCAAATCTCTACACACAACCCGGCCCTAACCTACCTTCATTAGGTGCTCGTGCATCTTGTTTGTGTGGAAGGGGTGGGGTGGGGGGAATGTACATCCATGTAGATTGTATGCTTAGCTTTTTCTTTTTTTTTTTTTTTTTTTAAGTGGTCTTGTTGCAAAGACCTTATACCTAATATTTCAAATACACAGGTTTTATTTGTGCTCCAGTATTTGTTTGTTTGTCTCCCTTTATCTAAAGGATTCAAGCACATCTTTCATCATCACTCATGAGCAATAAAGCTGCAGAGGAAGATTGAGCTGAGCTTTGTTAAAATACAGGAACATCTTTTGTAAGGTTTGTTGTGTTTTCTTTCTTTCTTTTCTACTCTAGAGTTGCTGGATGCAGTGAAGGAGGTGCTGCCCCATCTGCATGAACAGCAGATCACTGTTTTCATCTTAGCTGACAGGTGTGAAACTGCAGGTGTGGAAAGCTTCATTGATAAAATGAATAAGGCTTCCTCTGAGCCTATACCCAAGGAGTTAAGGTCCCATTTAACCATGCAGAGTCCAGCAGCCTACATATACACCTCAGGGACAACAGGTAAACTACTTACTGAGATTCACGATGCATCAGTGAAAGAAATGGCACATTCACCCCCTGAGCATCTGGCGTGTCTTTAACAGGTCTCCCTAAGGCAGCTGTGGTCACTTACAGCAAAGTGTGGAACTTTTCTTTACTTCTGGCTACAACAGGAGTGAACTCCAAAGATGTGATTTATGATACCCTCCCGCTTTATCACAGTACTGGCCTCCTTGTCTTCACTGGAGCTGTTGAAAGAGGTATGAACTCTTTGGATATATACTATTGTTAACTGTGTAAATCTTTACTTTTCTTATCAACAAACCCAGTGTTTAAGCTGAGATCAAAATCTCCAGATGCAATTCCACATTCTCCCTGCCTTGTGCCCAACAATCAATCCACAACTCATTAAGTCATTTAGAAAATAGCCATTTTTTAAAAACAGATTTCTAAGAGAACAGTTGACTTAAACATCACTAAATATTGAATTTCTTTGGGTCTGTTTAAAAAAACAAAAACAAAAAACCCCAAAAACGGACACTTGTTACTATATAAAGCCGATCTTCGTGGTACGGTGTTAAATGCCTTTGTCTGGCAATATTCTCTGTGGCATGGATTCAACAAGGTACTAGAAACATTCTTCCGAGATATTGGTCGATATTGACGTGAATGCATCACACAGTTGGTGCAGATTTGTTCCACCACATCCAAAACACACACTATTTGATTGAGATCAAAATAAACAAGCAAAACAAGTCCAAAAACCAGAAATGACAGCTCTTGGAGGTCGACCAGGTAACCAGAGTCAGAGACATGCTGGATGACAATCTGCATCACTGCAGCTGTGACCTCAATCATCGGTTTTCTTGTAACATGTTCTGGTTTCACAACACACACATGGGATGCAATGTTTCAAATTAAGGATAACTCTTAATTGATGATTTCACACACGCTTGTGCTGTTGCCTGCCGAACTCTGGTATATGGCAACAGCTCCTGGCTGTCAACTTCTCTTCTGCCGCACACCCATCTCTGTCTGTCAGCTGTTCCAAACAGCCTTCCCTACCACTGCTCCCTGAACCCACTGTGTCAACCCTCCCCTGCTGCTGAGCCACACCCCACACCACAGGACTCCCACTCCCCTTTCCCTTCACTCATGAACAAGACCCCAAGATACTTCTCGACTTGGGGCAACAATTCTCTGACCCGGATTGGGCCCTCCACCCATTTCTGCTGTTAGTCACTCAGCTGTGAACCGCTCCAGTGTGAGGTCGACGTTGGTGATAAAGTAAAAATTTTGACTACTTCCACTGCTACTCTTTAAAGTGTGCTGTTGTCATCTATTGTTGTGTGCAGGTATTCCTGTTGTTCTGAGGAGTAAGTTTTCTGCTTCCCAGTTCTGGGACGACTGCAGAAAATATAATGTCACCGTCATACAGTACATAGGTGAAATTATGCGTTATCTCTGCAACACTCCACAGGTTTGTGCCAACACAGCATCAACATTAATACTACTGTCTCACACAGAAAGGTTTAGAAAACTAACAAACGCATGCTCTTCTTTTCTCTTCAAACAGAAACTCAGTGATAAAAACCACAAAGTCAGACTTGCAGTAGGCAACGGGATCAGAGCAGATGTTTGGAGGGACTTTGTGAGACGATTTGGGGAAATTCAAATCAGAGAATTTTACGGAGCAACTGAGGGAAACTTTGCTCTGTTGAATTATAGCAGCAAGATGGGAGCTCTTGGGCGACACACCTTCCTGCACAAGGTAAAAGTCCATGTTTCAGCTCACATTAAGAAGTAAAACCTGTCACTCATGAAGCAGTGTTTTAGCTTCTTCTTTCTTTCTTTCTTTCTTTCTTTCTTTCTTTCTTTCTTTCTTTCTTTTTTTTTTTTTAATTTCTGAGATGTTTTTTCCATATGCTGTGATCAAATATGATGCAGACAAAGGAGAGCCTTTGAGGGATTCTTCTGGTTTCTGCATGGAGGTTGAGAAAGGTGTTTTACTTCCAGCATGGTTATAACAACAAAGATTTTTTTTTCTTCTCAAGTTCTCACCCATGCATCTTTTCAAATGCTATAAACATTTTATATGCCTAAATCCTAAATCTACCCAGTTCATTTTCTCAGCCACAGTGTACCTCACCACGCACAAAATTAACGTTTAAAAGACTCTAATGCAATGTCTTTACAGCATGTATCATGCATCTTGCCTTTAAAATATAACAACCCCAAATATGACTTCTCCTGTACTTTGATCAGGTGAACCTGGACTTCTGGTGACTGAAATAACAGCCAAAGCTCCATTCACTGGTTATGTGAGAGACATGAATCAAACTGAGAAAAAGAAGCTGCACAACGTCTTCAAGAAAGGTGATCTGTACTTCAACACTGGCGACCTGCTGCGCATCGATGAGGATAATTTCATGTACTTCCACGATCGTGTTGGCGACACATTCAGGTGAGCGCATGTTTTGAAATAATGCTTAAAAATGTGAGCTCACACAGAGCACTGAAAACAAAAAATGTCAACAGATGGAAAGGAGAGAACGTAGCTACAGCTGAGGTGGCCGACATCCTTGTGCTGACTGACTGTGTTAAAGAAGCCAATGTTTACGGAGTCAAAGTGCCAGGTACATGTTGCTGCTCCAAAATCAAGAACAAAATGTACACCACACTTAGTTTGTTTAGTCAATCATTAATCAAATTGTTCCACAATCAAGCATTTTTTTTTAATCAAGATCAAGATTTTATTATTTTATTATTATTTTTTCTCTCCAGAAGATTGTACCTCTATTTCAATATAGCTTATTTAGAGCAGTAAACACATGGGGTAAAGGACATACAGTCAAAGAGTTTGTGCCATGGTGGAATGCACCTCGCACACTACTCGGGCAGTTGGTGCTGAATACAGGGATATACTGGTAAATATTACATGGCAATAAATCTGTGTGTGTGTGTGTGTGTGTGTGTGGTCTCTGAAAGGAACAGAAAGAAAATACAATACTACATTACTAAAGTGTTCACAACAATATCTCCAGAGTACATTAACATAAACACAGGCGGGAAATAAGCTAACATCTTCTATAATATCATAGGCCATATATTACCCACGACTCACGCATAGACCCACTGAGAGAGCTAACCAGGTACACAGTTCTACCCAACCACAAGGCAGGAGAGTTAGCTTAGCTTAGCACCCGCTAGCGGCACAGACAGAAACATAGTCATTTCCCCCCTAACCTTGGTTACAGTCCCAAACACATCTTATTATCACATCCTCACACATCACCAACTTACGTTGCTCATTAACGCACACTTCTCACTGAATAACCAATTCTCTGCCGGTAATCTGGAGCAGAAAAGCTCAGGTGCTTTGCCCACGTTTCTCCCTGAAAATAGTCTCTCTCATACAAAGCGGTGTGGTGACCTCTACTGGCCACTCTAAAAACTACAGGTGAACTAACAACTGAACAGAATAAAACCATAACTACGGGGCCTTTTGTACAGCCGCCTCCAAATGTATGAAGTACATTTGCTCACAACAAAAGGCAATTTTACAAACAAAGTCACGGTGATTGTCCTTTGTCTTCGTCCGGGAGGGCAGGCAGTACCACCAGCCTCGCCACAGGTCGGGTGAAGGTCCGGTCCTTCACCTTGATGTCAGCAGACCTGATGTGCCCGTCGGGACTGGGGTGGACTTTGGAGATGCGGGAGATCAAGATCTTACAAAATAATCTGCTCACATGTTAGGTGGAAGCTTACAGAAGAGGATCTGGCATTCATTTTTTAAAAAAATATATATATATAAATAAATTTTTATTTTTGGGTTTTTTCTTTCTTCTTCTTCTTCTTCTTCTTCTTCTTCTTCTTCTTCTTCTTCTTTTTTTTTTTAAAAATTCTTGGGGAAAATACTCATGACCCTCTCCAATCTGGCCTTGATCCTCATCTGTATAAACTCACCAATTAACGTGTGATCTTTTGATGAAATATTAGTAATAGTAATGACAAGTTGTGGGCCAGAAAAGCAGACAGGTGAAGACCTTTGCAATTTCGCAACCTGCTGCTGACTGCAGCAGGAAACCTGCCGTTTCATATTTACAAAGTACGTATGGAGGAGGTTCATAATTAACTCTGCAGAAAGTGAATATGTATGTTTAGTATTGAATTATTGCATTGTGTAAACAAACGCAGGCTGCATCTCATATAAGGATTTAAATGGCAAAGTCCAATGAAGCAATGGACCTTTTTTTTTCTGTTTAAAACGTTTTCAAGTCTCCTTTTGTAAGTGACACTTATTTAAATGTCCCTTTAAATATCTGTATCTATTGTAATATGCACAAATAAATGTGTTACTCTAGACCCTCAAGTCAAAATTCCTGAGTTGCAAACAACTCAACATCTGTTTTAATATCTGCCACAGCAAAAATCACATCAAAATATGAGAGCCACCCAAGAGGCTTGTCTGTGCTGTAACTTTAAAACGTTTCTGTATTTCTAGCACTCCAGCAAAATTTATTTCAACATTTACAGATCTGCAAATGTTTTGTTTTTTTTGTTTTTTTTAAATCCACATTTATTAATCTGCACCCAGAGATCGCACACAGTATTTGTTACACATTTACAAATCTGAGTATACACACAGACTGAAGAACAAACAACCTTTGACACACATTTGAAAATAATTGTGCTACGGTATAATCTAGTACACATTGTACATTTATTTCGGTCATAGGCTGTAACTGGCACACAGGAATTCACTGAATCAGAGATACTCAGTCAAATACTGGATCCTTACTGGGTCACATCTTCTCAGTCTGGGGTTAGGTTTTTTTAAAACCAGTCAGTTTGTGTTTTTTAATTTTTAAAAAAATGTTTATATATAATGTTTATGTTTTTAAGATCTGCAGAGCATAATTATACATTTTTCTATATTGTGTTTGTGTATATTGATTGAAATCTTCCTTTAATAAATCTTATTTAACTGAAAACTGGGAAGCAAATTTATTATGAAAGCTAAACGTTACAAGCAAACAAGCAGCTGATCTATTATTCCTCTTTATTTGGTAGATATGTGAAAATGAATAAACATGAATCTATTTACATATATTAATATATTAAACGCAGACATTGTCCATGTTTAGACAATGTTTTGTTTTTTTTCCTTTTTCAGATGTATCAGCAAGTGCAGTACTTACAAATTTACAATGATTTTTGCTTTTGTCTATTTGTCTACACCGGCTCACTCCATTCATCCATTCATGTCCAAAACTAGCTGCTTGTTCCCAGGGATTACAGATAAAAACGAACTTTTAGCTGTTTCCACACACCGGTATCATGCAACTTGATACATGTACATGTTCCACTACCTATTGATAGCAGTCATATGGTAGCAGTGCCCATCTACATGCACTTAAACATGCCGATACAATCAAGAAGTTCAAACTGAGCGGAATGGGGAAGAAGGATGATTTAAATGTCTTTGAATGTGGCGTGGTTGTTGGTAGCAGACAGGCTGATCTGAGTATTTCAGAAACTGCAGATCTACTGGGAATTTGCATCACAACTGTCTTTAGGTCTTGCAGAGAAAGTTCTGAAAAAGAACATATCCAGCCATCAGCAGTTCTCTGGATGAATATGTTTTATTGATACAAGAGGAGAATGACCAAACTGCTTTGAGCTAATAGGAAGGCAACAGTAAGTAAAAAACAAAACAAAAACAACTTGTTACCAAGGAAGGCAGAAGAGCAGCTCTGACCGCACAAGACACTGCAATGCTGTCACGGTCTCCGCCATTATCCATTACCATTATCGTCTGCAGGTGCCTGAAGCTTAATAATTAACCCTCCTGTTATGGTGGTTTCCAGGAACACCAACTATGGTCCTGGGGCAATTTGTACCGCAACATAGCAGGAGGGTTAACAGCTCCTGTCCTTTCTAATCATTTACATAAGGCTTACACAATCATTGAGCAGGAGGGGATGCTGCCCCTCTTGCTCATCTGTTTTGATGTAGATCACCTGGTTGTTCAGTAGTTACATGTAAGTTGTGCTCCTGCTCCTTGCACCTTTTTATACCTCCGCTCTGTCTTCAGCAGGACAGCTGGGAGACAAACATGTTGGTCTGGACGGTGTGTGCAGCCTTGATTGTATGTGGCGTTTTACTCCGCCATCCTTATCTCTTCCAGGATGTCCAGTACGTGCTTGCGAAAATAAAAAGAAGGCGCTTTGTATTAAAGTGCATGCAGACTAATTACTCAATCCTGGACCGCTTTTTATACTTGGTTAAGACGCAGCCGCAAAAGACTTTAATTTATTTTAAAGATGAAAGTTCACGTACCGGGAAGCAGATCATCCTGAGCAACAAGGTGCGAGAGCGTTTCTGCAGGCTGGATGCGTAAAGGAAGGAGACCGGTGGCGCTGTTCCTGGGGAACCAGCCGATGTTCCTGTGGCTCTGGTTGGGTTTGGTGAAGATTGGATGTCCCGGAGCTTTGCTCAACTCCAACATCAGATCCAAGTCTCTGCTACACTGCCTCAACTGCAGTGGAGCCACAACTCTGGTAGCATCTGAAGGTAGTACCTGCATTTCTGTCTGCTTTTCCAAGCGATGGAGACAGTAGAGAGCTCATTTACTCAACATTCAATAACAAATAAATACATAAATAATTAGAGAACAAACTGTACTTTGGCATGCCATGGGAAAAACACCAATGTAGGCTATGCACTGTTTGCCTGCAATGGAGTAATCTATTGATGGAGTTTGATATAAGAATTTCCATTTTTACTTCACCAGAATAAAGTATCAGTCTTTATTCACATATCTAAAATTGTGCTTCTACCTCACTTCCGGGTCAGTATCTTACATTAAATGCAAAGAATGGTTGTCACTTTCCAGTAACAGGGATGACTTTTCATACCGTATAAGAAGCTTCTTAAACATTTTCTCACTGCCTATTGTTGCTTTAGTTAAATTTTTAATATTTGGAAATGAGTACATGTATACTCAACAGAAGGAAAACCACTTTCTCCACCATGCAGTACACCTTTTTATGACTGCATATGGCTGTCTTCATCATCTTCTTCACAAAGCAGACAAAAATAATGTGTTGCACTTGTGGTCCATCTTAACTTTTAGTTATTTAAACTGCCCCTTCATTTAGCACATATATTGTTAGTGACAAAACATCAAGGCAGTTCCAAGAATGGAACATGCCTCTCTAAAGATTTACTGACTTAAACTGTCACAGTGGGAAACAAAGAATTAAAAAATAAAAAATGTTTCTCCACCATAAATCAATCAGTAACTAAATGGTCCTGTGAAAAATAATTTCCACTCTATACAGTCAAAGTATAGAGTGGGCAACAAGTGTGAGCACACCTGTAAAACCAGAAGCTCCAACATCATTATTAGGAAATTATGGACCTGTGAAACAGAAGACCATGTCTGCTTTGGGATTTTTTTTTTTTTTGGGTTGTTTGTTTTTAACAGAGCTCATGTGAGCTGATATACTTTATAATTTATGGAGCATTCAGATGTGTTAACACAATAATTGAATCTACCAGGAGTTAAAAGGAAAAACAAAAGTAAAATTGTCAAACAGCTAAAGCTTGGCCAAAAAGGTTAACCATCTACAACAGACTGGCTGAAAAAGGGGAAGAAAAATCACACTGTTGCAATGGCCCAGTCAAAGTCCAGACCCCAACCCAACTGAAAAGCAGTGGTGGGGCTTTGAAAGAGCTGCGCATCAATGAATGCAGGCAAAGACAGGAAGAAACCCTGTAAAGCAGAGGCAGCCAAAATTCCTTCACATCAATATGGGAGACCAGGGCTGGACTGGTAATCTGGCACACTGGGCATATTCCCAGTGAGTCAACTGAGGGGCTGCTGTCCACCAGCTGTACAAGCCATGACAAAAACCCATTCGTACATTTTTCCTTACTGTCACTACCCAATCAAATCTCTACACACAACCCGGCCCTAACCTACCTTCATTAGGTGCTCGTGCATCTTGTTTGTGTGGAAGGGGTGGGGTGGGGGGAATGTACATCCATGTAGATTGTATGCTTAGCTTTTTCTTTTTTTTTTTTTTTTTTAAGTGGTCTTGTTGCAAAGACCTTATACCTAATATTTCAAATACACAGGTTTTATTTGTGCTCCAGTATTTGTTTGTTTGTCTCCCTTTATCTAAAGGATTCAAGCACATCTTTCATCATCACTCATGAGCAATAAAGCTGCAGAGGAAGATTGAGCTGAGCTTTGTTAAAATACAGGAACATCTTTTGTAAGGTTTGTTGTGTTTTCTTTCTTTCTTTTCTACTCTAGAGTTGCTGGATGCAGTGAAGGAGGTGCTGCCCCATCTGCATGAACAGCAGATCACTGTTTTCA